CAGGTGGAGGACAGTGTGAAACAGATATACAAGGTGTTTATAGCAACATCTTGAGAGGTAAGTATCTGCCCTCATTTCCTCTCAACTTGTTTGTGTGGATTTAAATCATTCACCTAAGGACAAGAGGTTTGCTCTCACTTTATTTCCTCTGTTAATCAAAACATTTCAAATTATGTCTTATTCCTCATAATGACTTCCTCTCTTGGAAGATCAAATGCACAGATGCTTATGTTTGATCTTGAGTTTAGCTGTGGACTTCCTAGACACATGGTGAGTTGGGGTGTGTGTGTGTGTGTGTGCATGTGTATAACAGAGAGGAGGAACAAAGTCGGTGAATCAGACGAGCTAATAACATAAAGACTTATAGCAAATGTATTTTCTATTGTGACTTTGCAACAGAAAAAATGACATGTAGCTTATAATTCCTCTTTGACACATGAAGAGCTTTCAACTAGCCAGTAACTTCCAGAAATCTTTGATTCCATAAAGAATAGCAAGTGAAAAAAGAAGCAAATTAGGTTTTTTTTCATGAAAAAAAATCACCATTTAGTTGTTTACTGGAATCTTAAAAAACATTGTAATCATCTGCAAAAGGCAAAGGGACCAGATTTCTGATGCATAATGGACAGATCAGAAGAATTAACCAAGCAGTCACTATATGGCAGGAATAGATCCTTGTAAACAGTTTAATCTATTCTAAGAATTCTGTGTTCCACTTTTATTTAGACCAACTGTTTCTTTGAGGATTTATAAATTTATCCTAAAATAAAAACTTTATGTCTTACACCAGGAATCAGAACTGAATTTAGTCAGAACTTCTCTCTTCTCTACTCCAGTGGAGATTCTTCACCATCTCTGGTTAGCACTGGGCTCTGCAGAAATATAACCTGCAGCTAGTACCTCACCATTTTACATGCTGTGTTGGATTGCTTTCTCATTTGTATAGTGCTGAGGCCAAATCTATGTTCCCCCTTGATCTCTGATGTTGTAATTGATTTCTAAGAGTATCACTTTTGGCTGCTTGAGAAATAGCAGCAGATTAACTCATCTTCACTGTCACTCACAGAGCAAAATTTTGGAATATGAGCCCAAACAATAATTGAGTCATGTTAGACAGCTTTTCATCACTGTGACCGAAATACCCAAATAGAACAAGTTAGAGGAGGGAGTTCATTTAGGGCTCAAGGTTTCAGAAGTTCAGTCCATGTTCAGCTGAGTTCATTGCTCTGGGCCTAAGGTATGGCAGAACAACATGATGGAACTGGCAGAAGAAAGCTGCTTAGTTCATGGTGACAGGAAGCAGAGATAGTGCAAGGTGCCAAGGACAAAAACATAAAACCAAAGACATGCCCCCAGTGAGCTACTTCCTTGAGATGTGACTCCCCCCACTACAGTTACCATACAGTTAGCCCATTCAAGTTATTCATTCATCAAATGGACTAATCTACTTATTAGTTTATAGTTCCTATAATCCAATTATAAGCCTTCATGGGGTACCTCATATTCAAACCATACCAGGTCTATCAACAGAAGTTACAACAAATTAACCAAGAAACTTCCTTGATTCTTTTTATAGAAAGAGATGGACTTTGCTAGAATAATTGCACTTTATAAATGTTATCAACAGTGTATTTGGGAAAAATACAATAGAATATAATAAAATAACATTAATGCTACCCTTCCATAGCATATAATGCAAAATTATTAAGTTTTAATAAAATATTATCTAATAATATCAAACTATTTAGTGGCATAGGACATTTGTTAAAACTATAAATACCAGAATTCCAGTGAAATTTTCTTATTGTCATTTTCATAAATTGCATGTTAAGGCACATTTGTAGAATAACAGTCTATTGGAAAGGAAATATAAAATGTTCATAAATATTAAGCTTAGCAATATATTTTAAATTATACAAAAAATGAAATCTATTATTTTCTGGTTCTATATATTTAGTATGGTGATATCTGCAGAATTAAAAGCTGAAGACAGTCAATGTTCCCATTACTTGTTAAATGAGATGAGGAAAAGGGCCCATGTTAAAAATTAAATGTAACCACTGTGTTCACATCCCCTGCTCCCCACCCCCTGCCACACACATTTATCTCCTCCTTCCTTCATCAATTTTGGTTTTGTGGTACTATATTATCTTTATTATGAGAGGAGTGTCCCATTGGAAAAAAAGATACTTCAATTCTTTGATATTTTGAGGTTTTTGTTTTGTTTTGTTTTGGATAGAAATTGCAGGATTTCTCTCTCAGTACATTCTAGAAAAGTTTCATTACAGTCTCTAGTTGTTCAATGATATTACCAGAGAAAGACCCCAGGGGAATAATTTCATTGTGAATCCTCTAGGATAGAAAATCAAAGGACACAATGGAAAATTATTAGAAAAAGCACTTCTAGAAGTCACAAACTATTACTTGAAATACAGAACTGTATTCTCTCCTGATCAATAAAGAATGGCTGATAGCTTTGTTTTGAATATGTGATATACCTATCAAATCCCAAGGAGGTAGGAGAGAATATATTCATATCAGGACAGCCAGCCAGTTCTAGACTTCAAACTAGCTGAACATTTTCTATCCTGTCTTGTAGTTATATTATTCATTTACTTATTTATTATGTGCTTTTTCCCCAATACTGGGACTGAAATTTGGTAGATCATTGGGCAACCAAAAAGAACACAGTCTCACAGTAATCAAATCTCCTACATCTCCAACACAAGTTTTATGACTAATGACAATTTACATTTAGTTCTCCCACATCTACACTTTTCCCACCTGACTTTCTCCTTTTGAGCATGTCTGGAAACTTTTTTCAGATACCATATTGACTTCTTCGCTTCCTGTAGGTTTTTTTTTTTTTTTTAATGATCTCATCACATGGTCTCATATATTTATAATTTTCCCCCTGATCAAAGGATTTTTTTTCCTAAACAAAAGCTCTTCATTCTTTGGAAGCAGAAAATTAAATAGCATAGTAACATCAATAATATCAGAGATTAGCTGGAAAAAGGTGGAGGAAGAGTTTGAGAAATCTAGAAGAAAAACTTCACAGGAATTTCAAGTTAACAAGAAACTTAAATCCCAGCAGTGCTCCAGGAGGAAAATTATATGTTAAATGTCTATGTAACACCATTAACAACCAAAGGCCAATATGTGGTGAAATGGCAGATGGCATTAAGGCTGACTCAAAGGTGCCTCTTACTGGATCCTGCAGGAAAATCAACCACAATAACACAGCAGGACAATGTCCTAGTACATATGCATCCTTGCTATTGCAAAATTTAGCCTAAATCAGTACAACTTTATTGCCTTTTGACTTGTTCTTCCCATAATGTATAGTAGTTCCAACGTATAGGCCAATTTTTCTACAAATAACATTTCATTATATTAAGTTTTAAATGGTAGGAAGCAAGTTCTATAATTAGTGAATATAATATTTAAATTAAGTGAAAAATCATGTTCCAAAGGTCCATACCAATGAACTGGAAATATTATAATATTTAAATAATCCACAGAAACCCAGGTTCTTTTCTTGTATTTAGAAAGGACAGTAATGACTTAGATGTATTTTCTTTCTTTTTACTGGAAACATACTATGAAAACTGTTATTAATCTGGTGGAAATATCAAATGGAGAGTCATGAAATCCCACATTTTAACTTTTTACAAAGTGATTTCTAAAAAATATCAAGTAGCTCGTGAGCAAATAATAGATGGAATTTTCATTTATAGCATATTTTATTGTCTACTCAGAGACAATGTGCTAGGCTAGAGAAACAATGTCAAAAAAAAAAAAAAAGGAAAAGAAAAAGAAAAGGAAGAAAAATGTCCCTTCTTTTATTAGGTTTAGGGCTTCAATTCAAGTTATATGACATTAATTTAAAAACAGAATCAACTATACAATTACTTTATACACCAAGACCTGTTAATAAACTGATATTTTTTATAGAGTATTGGGTGTTGCTACTAACTGGTTTGGGGATTTTGGCTGAATCACTTAACTTGTAGGCCTTATATTTCCCAGAATAAAAGTAAATGGGTTTAGCTGCATGAACACTTAAATATTTTATGGCTCTGACAATCTCAATTTTTTGAGATGTTTCTTATAAATTACCTCTTAATCTTCACAATCATCTGCAGTGACAAAGGCAAAGAGTATGATTTGTGGAAGTGAAATAGCTAAGAAAATACCAAGAGAGTTGCAACTTGATTTCCTGGCTTCTGAGTTCTGGTACCTGAGAGCCCAGATGATAGAGAACACGTGAGCTTTGGACTACTTGGGGTGAGCTTTGGACTACTTGGGGACAGGCTTGCCGCTTGCAAGCTTGGTGACAGTGAGCAAATTGTTCCATACCACTGAACTCTGTTTTCCTTACCTTTAAAACTGGAAAATAACCACACACACCCCTATAGGATGTTTAGCATACAGTAAAGTCCTCAAATATAGCTTTTACCCTATACACAAGGAAATAGGAAGTATATAATCACAGTGTTATAGAACAACAATTTTAACCAAACTGGAACTCGCTGTCACTTTTCACCTTCTCTGGGACCCCAGGTTTCTTTATTATTGACTCCTAAATGTGCTTCACTGACATTTCTCAGCAGAACAGAGTTCTGTTTTCATCCAAGAATAGAGAACCAGGGTCTTATAAATATGGACAATTTTACCAAAAATTGATTGAGGCAGTCACCGGCAATTATGCTGCACTTAATGATATTTCTAAGAACCTTTTTCCAATGGTTCAATAACAAAAGAAAATAAAACTTTGTTATTGTAACATCCTAACAGGTAAAACTGGTGACACTGGGAAATTTTATTATTATTATAATTACTAGAAATTAATTATCATTATCAATTATACATTCAAATCATGTACCTCTGATGCTCAACCTCTACTTACTTAGCCTTTTTTCTAGGTCCATGAAAAATCTCAAGAGTTTAAGTGCTGTTGATGTAGAAGATTCTTTTAAAAAGGCTTACACAATGGATTTGTTATCAATGCTTTATTGTTGAAAACAAAATTGAAATTCTCTGGCACATAAAACAATTATTTCTACAAAAGGAAAGCCTACAAATCTTGATAATTTATACAAATAACAGCTTCTCAAAAAATAAAATTTTAATTTAGTAAACTTGTCTTGTGCTCTATATTTTTAGCACTGTCTGCAATAATCCACCATAAATCCCTGAGCGGAGACATTTTTGATCATGTTCTGACACCCCCCCCAGACCTCCCCCCAAGCCCGAGTTGGTCAGTTACTAAGTACAGCCCTGTAGTAAAAGTGTCAGGGACATGTAGTTATTAAAAATCCATGCATTTTATGACACAGCCCAATTATTAATGCTACTTGGGAACTGAGTCACATGAAGTGCCTCTACTATGCATTCAGTGAACCTATTAAGAAACAAGTGTTGGAAAGGAAGAAAACAATAACAATAAAGAGACATACAATGTTAAGACTAGGAAGTTGTCATAAGTCAATAACTACTTAAATAAATAAAAATGTTAGACATTGAATTTATCTTTATAGCCTTATATTAAATTCCTTTTTCTTTTTTTTTTGCAATTGCCAATGCACTAAGATGAAACATACACTTCAACCCACTACTTCAGTTTGACCATTGGTTTGTGGTTGTTAAACGTTAAATATCATTCTGGAAACACAGTGATTTAGTTATAACTTAACTTTGGCCCTTCAATGAAATGTTTACAAAATAATACACACATTACAGGAGGGCCTTCTTATTAATGCCATTAAAAAAATCTCTCTTACTACATTTGCCCTTCTCACAAAAACACTAGTGCCATAGCAACACTACTTTAAATTCTTTATCCCACTGTATTCAGATACATAGCAAAATACATAAAATAAGGAGAAAACATAATATGATGTATTTGCATGTCCAGCTTCCCTTTAATGGAAATTTGATCTTATATACAGGGAGTGTGAAAGGGAAGGAGAAAAAGCTAATTTTCAGTTGCAAAGAACTGGCTTAATGAATCAAGTTTTTTTTTTTTTGTTATTCTGCTACTGTATAATAATAAATAAATAAATATGTAGGGTATCGTATAGCTAATTTCTCTATAAAAAGTTGATAACAGACTGGTGTTTTATGAAATTAATTTTTAGTAGCAAAGTTTGATTGCAAGTCAAAAACTGTTCAATAAATGTTTTTCTCTGCTTCATTTATAGTCTTTCATTTGTGAAATGATCAGTGAAGTGGTTGATAACAGGTAATGAAATAAAATACCCAATTTGCTAGTGAAAAATATTTTTCAACTGAGAAAAATCACGTGGCAGAAGACCTATCCATATACAGGTTAATGCTATATTCTATTGCAGTTTAAAACAACTCATTTTTGATACCTTTCAGGAAGAACAAATAAGATAAAAATAATCCTTTGAATATTGATCTGCACTGCTGTTTAGGTATCTATTAGAAATTGGTTATCATTTCATATAATTCTTTGCAAAATACAAAATTAAAAACTGGGAAACCACCATCATACACTCCTTTGTGTAGACTTGATCTTTTAACAACACAATCTGGGAAGCACACATACCTTCCCTTTTGTCTAACTGCTATCTATTAGTTATTGGAACTAGAACACTTATAAGCTTCCCTTTCTCTCATCCTTATGCAACCACGCATGTTAGCCAAGAACAGCCATTTTAAAAAGAAATATCAAAAGAAATTAATACAATGAATTCTACTGGACAGTTCTAAAGAAAACATTGACAACATTGAAACAAAAATGCCTGCCTGACAGATATAAGGCTTCTCTAGCCCCTCTCCAAAGACTACCTCTATTTTCCATATCCTTCAGAACATGAAAAGCAAATGATGTTCAAAAAAGTCAACATCCAAGTCATCTTGTGCACTAGTTGAGAAACAACTGCAGATTCTGACAGGTCTTGATACAATATTAAACAGAACAAAAAGTTTTCTAAGCTTCAGAAACCAATAAGCAGGCTGTCCCAAAGACGGAAGACAGCAGCATTAGGACAACCAGAGGCTCACTGTGATTCACACTATGTTAATCACTCCCTATTAACAATCTTAATAGTGTATTGTGGCTGAATAGACACTCTGACTTCCTCTCACAGTGTTTAAGGAACCATATAATTTCAAAATTAGCTTTCAAAAATGAAAAAAAAAAAACTATAACCAAAGTACCCCCTCCCCTTTAAGAATGTCAAAAGATCCTGTGTTAAGTGCTCTGGTTTATAGTCTATGGGCAACAATTACATTCTCAAGGAGGCTTCCAATGTTCCCCTTTTTGGTGTTAAAGGCTGTGCCAATAGCAAAGTGAATTCTCCCAGAAGTGACAATGACCTCTACTCGGGTCTTGAAGTGCAAAAAACGAGATCTTAGCATAACACTTCTGAGAAGTTTGGTCTGTTAATGGAGCCAGCTTTTAAAAAATGGAAGAGGATGAGCTTCTGTCCTCCTGTGTCAGGTCTTGGAAGTCTTTAAACCTTGTTTTTCCATGATGTTCCACAATTTTCGGAGATTGGACTGTGTGATGACATCATCAGGTTTGAGCTGCAGAGCCCGTAAGTAGTTGGCCTCAGCCTTCTGGAGTCTGCCATTAAGGTGCAGAATGGCTCCCAGGTTCATCAGAGCAGCCGGATACTGCAACAACAGAAAGGGCATAAAAGGATTATGTGTCCATTTCAAGCTGTCCTTCATGGAAGACAAAAATCTTCATCCACTTATGCAAATGATTCCCTCATCTCTAGAAGCATACGATGCAAGCAAATTTAGCAGATTTTACAAACTGACAAAGATAACTAGGAAGAAAAAAAAAGATTTTAAACAGTTGCCTTGTACTTTATGCTTTAAGGAGGACAGGCAGCTAAGAAATAGTATTCTTTCTTTAATAAAAAAGGATAGGTAACAAAGGCCTAGTGACCTATTCAGAGTATATTTTGTGAAAACAAAGGTTATAGTGATATAACTTCAAGTTATAGAAAGAATAAAATGTCTTTGAGATTCACAAACAAGAAATAAAAAATTCAGTGAAAAATCTTTACCCACTTCTGTCTCTTTTTAGCAATATTCCAGGCTCTTTATGCAAAAACTTAAACTATAAAATTTTTATTGATGTTTTCAGAGTAAAACCCTGAAAAAAATTCAAATGCAACCACTAAAGTTCTTTCCAAACCTAACCTAAGTATTTTACCAAATCCTTATTTTTAAAGCTAGTAAATTTCTAGTGGTGAATGTTTACTATAAATATGATGAAAAACACAATTTCAAAATAGATAAAATATGGTTATGGAAAAATATAACCTTTATAAGAAAGGTTTCATATTACTTGTTAAAAGAGTATTTAAGCAATTCTTGTAGAATTTTCAGTAATGTATGATAGTTGCAATAGAAAACTATCATGTGAAAAGTTTTAAAAAGCTTTTAAAACATATTTTTAAAGGATGAGGAAGTACGTAGTGCTAGTTTCATATAAAGGTTTCCATCCTCAAACCTCTCATCCTAATGTCTGAGACATCAGTTAACAATGAAAATACTAACCAAAGGAAAAACATTTTGCTTGTTATCTTAAAATAAAGTCTGTTCTTGTCTTGTCCTTAAAACATTCTGGCTAACAGGAACAGCTAACATTTTGGCAATCACATCAATGCATATTTCAACTATCAGATAAAATAAGATAATGTTTATGCTATGATTATGCTTTCATTTTACAGATAGTGTCAACTATTAATTGTCCTTCAACTCTGTAAAAAGCCTAAAATAATTCCCAGTCATCTTTACAATTTAGTATTTTCACCTTTTGGCTGAATTTATTTCACTCCACTCTTTACTGTAAAAACATTTCTGAACCAAAACAATGATGGGAAGAAGGTGGAAAAACTCAGAAAAAAAAAAAACTAACTGGGAAAAAAACATGATTCCATTTGGATTTTAACAGATCTGGATTTTGAGTTGTTGCCCAATCACTGTGACCGTGGTGAAGTCCCCTAATAAATCTATACCCTAATTCATTCACATGTGAAATACTGAAATAACATCAACTTTTTTGCATGCTTAGAAAGATAGGGAAAAAATAATAAATCCATATAGCAGAATGCAGGTACAAAGCAGACATTCTACAAATGTCAAGGTCACTTTCCAAGGCTTATTTTACTTGAGGCTCTGCATTATGTTGCTTTGTACTTTTCCTGTTACTGTATAGCCTTTATAATTTTGATTTCAATGGCTATATGTCTCTGCATGCATATCAAAATGCTCTTAAGTTCTCAAACACTGAGCATTATTTTCAGACTTGCTACATTCTTTTTTCTTTTCCAAAAACAATGTTGCACATATAAGCTGTTCCTGACCTTCAAAAACCTTTTGGTCAGGATGACTCCATACTTATCAAGAAAAATACAGATGGTCAGCTTCTAATTTTAAACACCAGTCCAAATAAACAGAGCTCTAAATTACATGTGCAGTGAAAAGCTCCACATTGGAAACTGAAAATAACACCACCTACTCCATCTTCCTAACAGAACTGTTATCACACCACCATTCTTTTCTCGAGTTCCTTGATGCCTAGACATTTCTAAATTATGTCCCCTCACAGTCCTTGGCACAACTATCAATAAACTGCTTCTAAACTGATGGTGAAATGTATCCACAGCCTGAATTACCAGAGATGCTAAATAGATAAAATGTTCAGACTTCCTGCTATCTAGTGGGAAGAGAGGAATACAGGGAGAGAGAACTACTGCTGGACACCATTCCTCACTAACCAGAAATAGACGAGGCCCAGTGATGGGGTTGAGAGAAAACAGATGACCCTGTGGGATAATCATTATTTCTTGAATCACTCTGTTACCAACAAGTCTGTACTTAATACTATCTGCACCTATAAATGCAATGTAAATGATTAGAAAAAACCTAGAGGTTATGGAGTTGGATGGCCTAGGTTCAATCCCAGCTCTACCACAGACAAGTATGCACCTGAACAAGCTGGGTGAGGGACTGAGACCTCAGTTTCTTCTACAAAGAGGATGACAACAGGACTTGCTTCATGGGGTTGCTGGAGAGATCATGAGAACACAGACAGTCCTGCTAATGTGCCCGATCCACACTGAATCTAGATGCTGATGATTTTTAAACTGGCTTTACCCTTCCCGGCTTCCTAGACTTCCTTAGGTTAAACCAGAAAGAGATGGAAGTTAAAATAGGTAGTGAAATACCATCAACCCAGCCACATCAATAAACTTCACTGCTATTTCTAAATTACAGCATGAGGTTCTTCTGTCCTTGGGAGTTACCTTCCTGATCTCAAATAAGGAATAAAATTTTAGTATTTCAATAGTAATCTAAGAAAACACAATTAGGAAGTTAAAACTGTCCTGATTAAATGAATTCTGAAAGCTAATTATAATGGCATTTCTGTAATAACTTTAATTTTGCATTATCTACCTTAGCATGTTACTTATTAAACAAAAATAATCACAAATTGGTATTATACTGTTAGTGTGAGATAACAGATCTCATGGAAGCTCACAATACTGTTTCCCCTGAGGAGTAAAGACACATGTAAACTAAAAATGTGCACATTTAAGATCATCCAATATCTTCAAGCAGTTATACATTTCAGTATAAACTATTTTTATATTTTATTTTCTCTTTTAATAGAAATGCTTAAAACATCATTGTGCATTCTTATTTGAGTGAATGGAAATCGATTAAATCTATAAACAATTCTATTAAAATGTGACATGAGTATCATCACCATGTCAACAGTTATTTCAACATAAGCAACCTCAATGTTTATTTAAAAATTTCAGAATAAAATTGGATGTTGTTTTATCCCTTTAAAGACACAGTCTTTATTTTTTAAGTCTGTCATGTCTCCCCTCCAGAGATGGCCAAGGTGGCTAATGGATACCCACTGGTCCAAATGCCTTCTGGCCTTTTAGGATAGCCATGCAAACCAGTGTTTAGAAAATATCAATGGCATTGCTTGGGTTCTTTCCCTTTTCTTTTCCCTTTCCCTTTCCCTTCCTTCCTTCCATTTTTTTTTTGCTTTGTTTTGTTTTGTTTTTAACAGAGATGCAGAATCTCAGGCCCCACTTACTGAATCAGAATGTGAATTTGAACAATATCCCAGGTGCTTTGTATCCTCATTAAAATTGAAGAAGTACTGCTGTATGGGTCACTTCTAGATCAATAATGCTATCATTTTACAACTTTTGTGATAAAATTTTCTGTATGAGGTTATAGCATATAGAACAAAGTATGTTAGATTTAATATCTATCCCCTCATAAAGTAGACTTTTTCTCTTGATTATGCAATTATTTAAGTCAGTGAATGTTCAATTGAAATTTTATTAATGAAGCTATAAAGGATTAAATGTTATTAGAAGAAGAAGGTATGGAAATAAGACCTTGCCAGGGATTTCTAAATAGTCAGACGTTACTGTGTAATTGAATGTAAGAATTTCAGGTGGCCAGCTGATTGGTGTCATTGTTATTTGCTGACTGTAAGTCAAGGATGGGGAAGAGAAACACAACCACAATAGCTGATGTCTTCCCTCACACACATTGTCTTTTATTGAAGACAGCTGATGAAATTCTCAGCCTGTTAACCAAGGCAGGCAGCAGCCTGCAGCCCAGTAACACAAGGCTTCTAGCTCTCTATAACAAATGACGCCACCACCCACTTCACAGACTAGAAAGGGGAACCAGACCTTTCTTGATTCCTTGAAGACAACAGATGCTTCACATCAAATGGGATGACTGGCAGCCATACTGAGGCTGCAAATGACGTCTTTTCCAAGTCTCTAGGGGATTCTAACTGAATATTCTGACTGCTGTTTTACTTTGGTCTTTGGCTTATTTCTCTAATGTTGGAGAAAATAAGCGAAATTAAAACAAGAGATATCTATTGGGGTAAGTAGAGCAAAGACAAGACTGTGGAAGTCTGATTCTGGTCCAAGGCTCATGAAACTCCCAATGAAGCCAACTGAGCTCACAGGGTACTCCGAACACTCAGGGTGGAACACATCATTTTTTTTTTTTTTTTTGGTCTTAGCCTATCATGTAGGCTTGCAAAGAAATCCATGGAGGAAGACTCGTGGTACCATATGTGGAATTAGTGGCAGGATTTTTTTTGTTTTTATTGGAAATGGGATAAAAGTGTAGAACTGTGAAAAGAAGATTTTGGGAGGGTCCCAGAGAAAGGAAAGAAGAAGAATGGTTGAGATATTATAACCAGGTAATAGTTGGGATCTCTGTACCCCATTAATCTCTATGGCTATTTCCCTTTTATGAAGGATGATCAACAGGCAAAAGAAACTATGGAAAAGATGAAAACAGAGATAACTGATCAATATTACTAATTTTAGCTACATTTTGTCCAGTTTATCTTATTCAAATGATCTGTGTTGCTGAAATTATCTTTGGAGTTGTGGATTTACTCTTGTATAAACTAAACAACTTCTGGGCTGGGGATATAGCTCAGTTGGTAGAGTGCTTGCCTTGCATGCACAAGGCCCTGGGTTCAATCCCCAGCACCACGAAAAAAATAAAAAATAAAAATAAACTAAACAACTTCTAAGAAAGAATAACTGAAGCCAGCCTGATCGAGTCATAACTCAATTAACATTGTACATATTTGG